TGTAACACAAAGACGAACTTCTGCACTCATCCCTTCGACTCGCATACTTTGCACTTCCGAATTCGAGCAGCTTCAGTGTTTGACTAGTCCGCGCTTCACTTGGGATCCGTTTGTCCCCTCACTCTGATCAGCTATGTGCCCCAAATTTAGTTCGCTGTGCCGGACATTATGTTGTCGTTCATCCGCCTCCTGCACGTGCTTGAGAGTATCTGTTGCACTACTTGAATTGCAAGAGCATCGCACCGCATTCAACATCAGGTGGTTTTCGTACGTACCACGCTGTTCGATGTTGCTGCTGCTGCCGCGATAGGGAAGCGACGCTCTGCTGGGTTAACTGGTCCTGTCGAGTTCTGGTACGACCCTCCGGTATCTGCTCCTGATGCTGACGTCGCTCCCTCCTTCGCCTTTCTCCGTTTCTAAAGGTTTATCTATGAGGTTTCGAGGTAAAGAGTGCCAGTCCGATGCCTCCATTCTTATCGACACTGGGAACATGACTTCAGCCCTCTTAAGTGCAGTTTTGCTCGTCACATGGGTTTGGCGATTCAACCGTCGGACCGTTGGTTGTACATCCCACCCTAACGGTCATACATTAGGATTGCTGGCTGCACCGGCCCCCCAGGTGGTCCGTACTGCAGGACCAAAGCGTGGCACTGCACTCGGGGGACAGTGAGCTCACTAACTTGCTGTTTGTTGATGATGCATCACTCTTAGCCACTGGCTGCGAGCGGGCACAATGCCTTCTTGGTTACTCGAGATGTTTTGCAAGGCGACTGGGATGGCTGCTAACGGAGCCAAGTGTGAGGTGCTTGTCTTAGGGGCACACCTACTGAGTGGGAGTCGCTCGTGGGTTACGTGTACCGGCTGGGCGGGGAGATGTTGCGTGTATTGCCCCATAATGAATCGGCACAGTACCTCGGGATGCACTACGGGACAGGCCAACGGTTTGCCGCCTGCACTTCTCTCTGTCGTGAAAAGTTACGTACCGTACCCAAGCTCTACTTGTCATTTTATAATGCGCTGGCCTTGCCTGTCCTTTCCTACGAAGTGCAAGTGTGGGGATCCGGGTTT